TCTTCAGCCCACTTTCCTCTCAACTGCGACTTGGCTGGTTAGCTTCTCAAATAACTGAGAAGCTAACTCGCACTTAGCAAATTAAAAGAGCAAATTGTTATTCTTCTTATTCACTTATCACTAATTACCGCCAATTGGTTTGTTTGCTTTCAGGTACCATTTTCACGGTAATTCAATTCAACTAATGAAATGGTGCCATCGATTGGCGAAATCTCTCTAGTGTCCGTTTTTTGGTGGTGTCTTCTTCTTCTTCGGATCGAATCACCAGATGGAACTAGCTGGTGACTGAGAGTGAAAAAAATGTAAACATCAGCTTTTCAGCTTCAGCTGACTTTGTTGCTGGGCTGGTTGCTGCTGCTGCTCCTGGCGCCAAAGCCCTCTTTCCTCTAATTACAGGTTGTACGATCATCCAGTAATCTATTTGTTTGTTGTTTGCGATATTATCATATCGATGGCTGGCTAATCGATTCGTGTACGAGCTCCTTTTTGGCGATGGCTGGCCTCAACTGAGCTGAAGAATGTCGTCCTGAAGAGAGTCTTCTGAACATTGTGCTGAGCAGCTAAAGATATTGCTGTTTTCCAGTCGTGCCAAATTCCGCCGAGGACATGATCATCATCATCAGCAGCTATTGAAGAAGAAGAAGTTCTAAAAGCTTTGCCCGACACTCTTTCTCATTTGCATTGGTAAGTGGGCGCTCCGCGGTCTGCCACCTTTCTCACGCCAATTATTGTGGCGCCGTTAAGTCTGCTAGTTTTTTTTGTCAAATGAAAATGTACTTTTGCTAAAAATCCACTTGCTTTACTTAGAAGTACTAAATCTATCTTCTTCATTATTAGGTCGAGTAGTACTGAACTGCAGTGCAGTGTAAATGTGCAAGAGGATACAAAGGTTCACCACCAGACGCTGACTGTGCCTGACTATCCTGACAACCGCTTACTACCACAATCTAATCAACATCAAATCTACACTTTTCAAGGTGAGCACGTCTGAGCTGCTGCTGAGCTGCCCACTTCTTTTTATACAAAGTATCACTAACACTTTTTTCTTTTTATACCCATTGATACAGTTGTGACTGTTGGCACAAACAGAAGAATGATTCCCGAAAACGGTGATCGAGAAAACCAAATTGTGCAGGAGAGTCGAGTGCTCTCTATTCAATCGCACGTCGTCTCGGGAATTTGTGGTAATAAGTCAGCGGTTTTCCCTCTTCAAGTAAGCAGACTCTGAAACATTTAACAACAAGGGCTTTCATATTTTGTCTACCATATTTTATCAGACTCTAGGCTTCGAGGTGGACTTTATCAACTCGGTGCAGTTCAGCAACCACACCGGCTACGGCACCTGGACCGGCCAGGTGCTGCACGAGTCGGAGCTGCTGGAGCTTTTTAGTGGCCTGAAGAAGAACGACCTCCACCGAAACTACACGCACATTCTCACCGGCTACGCGAGGTCTTCGAGCTTTCTCGAAGCCGTCCACTCGGTCATCAGCGAAATCAAGACCATCAGTCCGAATGCAATCTACTGTGAGTTTTTTGTTTACTGTTTGAAAATGAGACTTATTCTTCCACACAGTGTGTGACCCTGTTCTCGGCGACGAGGGTAAACTGTACGTACCCGAGGAGCTGGTGCCCATCTACCGCGACCGCATTGTGCCGCTCGCCGACGTCGTGACGCCCAACCAATTCGAAGCAGAGCTGCTGACGGGGACCAAGATTACCGATATTAAGTCGGCTATAACGGCCATTGACGTTCTGCACGCCAAGGGCATCAAAACGGTGGTCATCTCTAGTACTGAGCTCAGTTTCGGCGGTGCCGCCGGCGGCTCAAGCAACAATCTAGTGGCCATTGCCAGCTCAACGGTTGGTCGTGGCTCAAGCAGTGCTGACACAGCAGCAGCAGCAGTAGTGCCACAACGCTTCCAAATTGCCATTCCCCGTTTCGATGCAACCTTCATCGGCACCGGCGACCTCTTTGCCGCCCTCTTCCTCGCCTGGCTCACCAAGACCAACTTTGACCTGAAGCGGACGCTGGAGAATGTGGTGGCCAGCCTGCAGGCGGTCATCAAGCGCACCTACGCCTTTGCCATCAATAGACCTGGGGGCATCAAGAGCTGGGCGAACATTGAGCTGAAGACGATTCAAGGTCGGGCGGACATTCTCCAGCCCAATGTGGAGATTGCCGCCGAGGAGGTAGTGCTTTAAATCAGGTAACCCAAAACTAGTTCTACTGTTTAACAGCCCACAAACTAGCCTCTAAACTTGTTCTACCCGCAANACCCGTTCGGCCTAACCGCTCCGGTTTATCTCGCACGACGAGGAGGTTAACAGCCCACAAACTAGCCTCTAAACTTGTTCTACCCGCATAACCCATTCTCAACTTTCCAATGAAATCAACTTATGTCTTCCAAACAACGATGCCTGCGTACCTTAGAGCTTCTTCTTCTTTCCGTTTACAACATTTTACGCACAACTTCTTCTTTTAGCAAGTGTTTACACCAGTAAGGCGGCGTTTATTAATAATGTTGCCGCAAAACTTCAGAATGCAAAAATGTGCAATAAAAAAAAGCTGTGCAAATGTTTGATGCCAGTTTGCTGGGCTCTACTTGCTGACGCTGGCGTGGCCAAGGCTGACCTTGGCCTTGCTTTTGCCTTTGCTATTTTCCTTACTTTTGCTTTTGCTCTTCTCCTTTCCACTGCTCTTCCTTTCCTTGCTCTTGTGGATCTTTTTCAGGTGACAGATGGGGAATTTCAAGTCCATCTCTGC